CAAGAGACAGAGTCATGAGGGAGGCTGAAAAAAAAAAGATAAAGAGATGAGTGTGCAGTGCACAGAGAGGGGCAAGGTTCCAGCAGAGCATTGAAACAGCCTGTTCTTCACCACAAGCTCAGCCCCAAGCCCAGCCTTAGCAGATGCATCTCCCCATTGCTGCATTCATGCTGAATGCAACTGAGCACTTGCTTTCCTTTAGATTGCCAAGATGGGTGAAAGCCTGTGGAAGGTGCCTAATATCTATCTGAGCAGTATTCTCAAGAGGCAACGGTGCTACCGTCAGAAACAGCACTTTCCTGTTCTCCCAGGGGAAAGAAGAGATTGTTTCTTTAAATACCTACCATGTCAATCCAAACTGAAGTCAGGGTGCTGATTTCCAAAAACTGTGGCTAAGCCAGTCTTGGCAAGCGAACCAGTGAACAACCACCCTTTGTGCCAAAAAATAAAATCAAACCACATATATATATATATCATAATCTTCTGCAGTCTTTTCAATCAAAGTAAGGTTTATTTGAATAACCTTCTGTATTCATGCTGAAGCAGTTTATCTTGGAGTGAACACAGGTTTCTTGATCCACAAGAAGTAGACTTCTATGCATTCAAACTGTTTCCTGTTCTGTGTTGTTTTAAGTCACTTAGGGAAAGAAAGCAATAAGAATCACAGAAACCATGCACCACAAGAAAGGAGATTCCTGCCTTTCCAGGTTGTCTGTTCAGTTATTTTCACTTTCTCAAGATTCTTAGAACTTTAGAAGTTGGCCCTTTTCTCTTGTCAAAGAGTGAAAAACAAATAAAATAAAAAAAATCAATGCAGAGACCCATACATAACAAATGGCAACGCACGTTGATGTGCTACGGGGCACAAAAACATTTCTCAAAAGCCAATCATTAAATTAATGATTAATTAAATTAATTAGCAGTATTTTTGCAGAATTTAAGACAGGTAGAAAAATGAACAGCGGGCCAGAAAATGCTTCTTTCCTCCAGTCTGGGTCTGGTAAAATATATAAATCCTAATTTTTAATTTATTTTATTTTATTTTGCTGAAATGCACTGCACTGTCCTGCAATTGTCCTCACAGAAAAGACCAGCTTACAAATGCAAGTTCTGCTTCACAGCAAGACATGAAAGGGAAGAGCACCAAGGAAGAGGACTTGAGCTTCACTTTTTTCTGCAAAAAGTTTCCAGTTCACCAGAAATGGAAAAGATCAGAAAGACAGAAGTGCAAAGCAAATAACAGCATTGTCTCCATCTTAAATTTACAAACAGCTTCATAACAATATCAGGTTGGAAAAAACTCTGTCCAGGCTCTGAAAACATGGATCCCAGCATAGTCAGAAGGGGGAAGCCACATGTAAGAGAGAGAAAGAAGCACGCTGCACTATTTGCGATGGGCTTTCCATAAACACCATTAGATTCCAAAGAGAATAACATCTTGGAAATACACAGAAATTTCCTACAGAACAAGTCTTCAAAATGTCCATTCCACCAACAACTATTTACGAAAAGGAAAGAAAAAGATCCCGCAAACCATTCAAGCTTATTCTTCAATATGTATTTCCTGTACTTGGCTGAGAGAATTTTTTAATAATAATTTTTGATTGATCTGATTTCATTGTGTACTGCCAGGGCTAGAAGGGAGTATTTGCAATGATTTATACAAGTTGCAGTTCATAATTTTTGATAGGGCTGAGCTGCTGTTGGAAAAATTCCATGGTTCTGAACTTGGGTCAGCTTATCCATTCACAAATCAGTTTGTAACAGTTCCTTTGTTGAAAAAACAGCCTTGGAAGTTAAGAATCAGGCAGAAATTTGCAGTATTTCCCTTCTGTAAACAGATAGAGGAAATCAGAAGCACTTTTTTTCATCCCTTTGAAAAGAGAACCAAACAACTCTCCAAATGAGTTTTAAAGGCACTTAAGGCAAATAGCTGGAAATGACTGCAGCCCAGCTTGAGAAACAGAAGCAGCAGTTCTCTGTAAAGCTCAGAAAAAAATTGGTTCTCCATTATATGCTTCTTCTGGGGGGGGAAGTAAACTTCTTTGGATGAGGGCAACAAAAAAACTTTGGTTCATAATGTTGTTTTGCATAAAACTTCAAGTAGATCTTCAAAAGCCACTGACTGTCCAGACTAATAACAAAATACCCACATTCTTTCCTCAGTGATGGACGGTCCTCTTTGGTATAGTATTTTGTAAGGCAGACATCTTGCTGAGATGAAGGAGTCATACAGCTGCATCTTAGAAAAGGAAGACAGTGTCACTTGTACCACCACAAACAAATGAATTTACTTGATTAAAGAACGCACAGGAAACCTTGTTTTGGTGGGAGGGCAGGGGAGTGTGGAAGATGAGACAGCACCGATACTTGCTAGAGGCAAGTTATTTTGCTCCACTAGTTAGCTGTGAAAAGTTGTCAGCAGCTGTGACACATGTTTTGACCAAAGTGTAGAATTACTGCTTTGTGAGTAATTTTGAGTAACAAGGAATGGGCTGTTAATAAATCCTTCCAGGCAGATACTGCCATGGGAAAATATAAATATTCATTTTGTGAAGCACTTTGGCAGGCACTAAGCATGATACTTACTTGTTGACTGCGTGATGCAAGAAACCTTGTAGGATGACCATATGCTTAAAACACAAAGGACTGTAGCTAGGAATCCAAACGTCTGAATGAAAAAACAGACAAACCACAAATACTTACCATTAGATGACACATAATCCATGAATGTATAGCCTCCTGCATATTCAAGTACATATTTTATGATGTTAACAGACCAAAAATGAAGTTATATTTTACACCATTCTGCCAACGTGCTAAAAAAAATAGTTACCATAGAATAATAGCAGCTTACGCCTTGTCAAACCAATGACTGAAAATCATATAGAGTAGAGAGAAAAAGCTGGACAGCTACACAGTGTCCCACCTGCTAGACTTCTCATTAGGACACTGCGTTAAAGAAAAGACTTTTTCTGACACCTCTGATTGTTGCTCTTTTGGCAAACCCCAGGCAAGTCTTTATTTGTCATCTGCCAGATAAATAAGTGTCTCCTTCTCCATCTGCATCTACAAATAACCATTGGGACCAAGCTTGTGAAAGCAACTCTTTATCCTAGTTGCATTGCATTTTAAGTTCTGTTGCCCACACTCAAAACTCACGTCTCTGAAGAACACTTCAGCCAACAGAGACAGAATACATCATCCAATACATAGATCCAGGATGACAAAGGGTTTTAGCTCAGGAGAAATAATCTCTATTCAGGTGCAGAAGATGCAAATGCAGAAGACTAGGATGAAATACTAACTTGCAGTTGTTACAACAGCCATTTGTCAAACCTAAATTGTCTTAATTCTTCCCCGAAACACATTTGTCTTTATGCGTTAAAGCTAGAGGCTTTTGTTTCAACACATATTCATTTTAGTGGTGAGATTGGAGTCTCACAAAACCTTTTTGTTGGCATTATGTTATGGAACATTCACTGAAACGAGATAGAAGACAGTACACCAACCAAGAAACAAGCAAGGCAAGTCTGTAAGAAATCAAAGTGATGAGCAATAGGTTTCTTGCACTCAACTTACATTGCAATAAAAAAGTATCAAGACCAATAAACAAGACCTTACCGCTCCAGCCACTAGTCCAGTCAAATTGTAACTCTTTGATGCTGCTACAATTGATGCAATGAGAAGCAGAATTGTACCAATTAAATAATGGAGAAATTCCTGTAAAGACAAGCAAGCATAGATTGCTTCAGAAGGAAAACTTATCAGAAAAGCATTTCAGTATCCATCAGAATCAGAACAAATTGGCAGTGGTTACTCAAAGTTAAAAAAAAATAAAGAAAAAAAAACCATAAAAAACAAATGACAAGTTTCTGTTTGAAAGGGAAGGACCAATCTGCAGCTCTACTAAATATCACTGGAATAAAATCTAGTGGGTATGGACTCTATTTTTTTCATTCAGTATGGTACAATATGGGGGGATAAACATGTATATTTATTGTACCAAGAATGCAATTTACTCAAAGACACCATTCTGAGGAAAGGAAAAAGCCTTGGGGCACATTTCTCTAGCCTACATACATGAAATGGCAAGGAGTAGCAGAGGAAATGCAAGAGCTTCTACTTCTAATCAAAAAATAAGCTGGATTTACTAACAACTTCCTTATATCAACCAAGCCTAGAAACAGGAGAGAAACCACAAAAAGCACAACTATGCAGACATTTGTAAGCAACATCAGGTTCTAGAAAAGCTGCCCAAGTCTTGTAAGCTGCAGCTTAGTAATGCAGTAAATCAAACGTGATGCAACATTTTTTTTTTCCTGAGAGCACTGAGGCACTACATTCTAGATTTTCTCTGGTGTGACAAATATCAGCCTAGGAGTCAATTTTGCCTCACAGTATGCAGAGTTATCTGTGGATTTATGTTTTGAATCTTCATGAAGGTTACATCGATAATACAGGTGTCTTCAGAACATTGTGTAGAAGGATGTCCTGGTGGGATACATGAGTACTGACTTTGTACTGCACTACTGCATGAGCCACACAAATACCACGTGTAAGGGAGACAGGAGATTCCTTGTCAAACCAAAACAGAGAGTATATAGACCCAAAAGAAAATTGTTCAATGAAATTCCAGAAGAGAAACAGTCTGTCAAACCATACCACAATTTCCCTCTGCTCAGATTTTTAAACAACTGAAGAGGATCTTTTCTATAAAGCAGGTTCTCAGACTACAAATTACTTTTTCCTTGTAACCTCGTTTCAGGTGATCAAGATCATAACCCCTGTTTTTGCTAGAATAAAGTATTTCTATTACAAGTCTCCTCTGGTTAGTCCACATCACAGCAAGCAAATTACATATGCTGTTTCTTTCTTAGAGACATCTATTACAGAGTGTACACAGCCCGCTACTTTCACGGAACCCAAGGGATGGAGACAAGTTGTAAGTGAATTATCAAAGGCCATGTTACATAGAGAATGAACCCCTGGCAGGACCAGGACAGTGCCATTCTGGAAAAATGCTTTTGCAGCTTTAAAAGTTGTCATTACAGAACAAACTCCTCAACCACCACAGCTTTACTGATTGTAAGGCACACCTCCGATTGCAATGCAGGGATCTTGCCAGGAAACTCAGCCAAACACTAATCCAAGTTTCCCAAAGCCTCTTACAGGCTTTTCGATTCTGTTCCAAAGATACTAAAATATTTGTCTGAAAAGGAGACGGTTGTAAAATCAGGGAATCACAGAATATCTCGAGCCCAACCCCTGGCTCCACACAGCACCACCCAAAACCCAAACCCAATGTCTGAGAGCGCTGCCCAAACGCTCCCTGAGCTCCGGCACTCAGTGCCGTGCCCACTGCCCTGGGCAGGCTGTTCCGTGCCCACCGCCCTCTGGCACAGACCCTGTCCCTAACTCGCAGCCTGACTCTCCCCTGACACAGCTCCATTCTCTTGCATCTCATCGCTGTCACACAGAGCAGAGCTCAGCGCTGCCCTCCGCTCCCTGTGAGGAGCTGCAGCCACCATCAGGCCTCCCCTCAGCTCCTCTGCTCTGCGCTGAGCAAACACAGGGACCTCACTTGCTCCTCGCACACCTTGCCCTTCAGAGCATTCCCCATCTTTGTAGCCTTCCTTTGAACACAAACAGCAATGTATAAGCATCCCATTTCATTAAGTTATCTGAAACTAAACAGCCACAAACTGCAGTGCCTTAAATTCACCAGTGCAGTGTGGAACATTTTGAAATGAACAAACAGATAAGAAAAAGAAAACGTAGTGAATGAAAAGGTCAAAGTGGCAGAGTTCTGTCACTCACACATTAAATTTTGCTTTACAAAACTCATTCCTTTTTCCATGCAAACATATTATCTCTAAATAAGGACAGAAGTACTTTCTAGAAACAAATACTAGAGGTACATATTTTAAAAAGTGTTGCAAGTCTCCATTTAAAAAGAATTTACTTTTTTTCTTTGTTTAGAAGTGGAATAAATTACTACCTCACCTCTGTAAACTATTTACATAGTTCCATTAAAAGCCATTTCAAACACTTCTTGAATTTCAAAACTTCCTCTACATCTCTCTGTTTGGCTTTCCTCACCCCCTTAGCTCTTTCTCTGTGGGATTAACAGGTCACTATGCATCCAAGAGAGATGTTGTCAGAGGTTACTAAAATCTGTGATCCCACAGCAGGACAGATGACTTTTTTGTTAGCTGATCTAATCAAAGCTGTTGAGGAAGTTCAGGTCTCCCATTTTCTGTGGTGCTTGTTAGCTCTCTGCTAGGATATAAGAGATGGATGTACAGAGGAAATGGTGGAATGAGGTAGGATATCCTGCAGGAAGTTCCTAGTGAAGGCCAGGCTATGAGCAGTCAGGCTGAGGATCCTATTTCTCACTATTGTTTAAGTTACCTATAACCATACTAAAAAGAGACACGTTTGATTTAAATAGCACATATAAACTTTATTTTGAGACAGGATGTATTACATGAATTCTAATGCAGTGAATTGGTACTCTAGCAAACATGTAGCTACTATAAACGACCAGAGTTAGGGCCCATCTGCTGACACCTTTTTCCAGTTGTCTCAGAATAACCCAATTGCCTTCACTGGAACAAACCTGGATTTATATCTGTGTAAAGGAGATCAGGATCTGATTCAAGTGAGCTAAAAGACTTAGAATTACAACACCTTCTGAACTCAATACTAGTAATAAAAGCAGCAAAGGGATTTGTACATGAAAGAGAGCCTATCAACATGTGACAGCACAAGAAAATGAACCAAGTAATCCAGATATCAACCCACAAGAGAAGGAAAAAATCTGACAGACTTACCGCAAGTGGCCAGCTAACACAAGTGAGTGACCTGTAGATTCTGAAAATGTGGATTATGTAGAAGAACAAAATCATAACCAAGTCGCACATGGTAACAATCTGAAAGTAGCTGTATGCACTGTAATCTGTCCACTGAGAATTATTTACACTGATGAATCCGACCAGCAGTGAGATCTGAAAGACAAAAGACACATAGAAGGTTTTTAGAGTGGTGCTCAGAGGCCTATGAAGATGACTTCAAACACAACAATATGTCATTTAAAAACAGAAGGCAATCATCCAGAGTAAACTGGATGGTCCAAACAAAATGGAGGACAAAGTAACAGGTACAAAAGTGTTCAAAGCTGAGAAAGAGCCAGCTGCTAAAAATAACGCAATGATCCCTGCGGGATCCAAACTGAAGAAGTCTGTATTACAAAACAAGAGGTCTCAACTAGAGAACAGGTGCTGAATGCCTGGTGTTACAGCAGCAACTGAAGGACCTAAACCCTATGGAATTTCAGAAGGACATGGATGGCTCACTGCAGCTGAAATGACTAAGTGCTGTACAAATGAATATGCCCATGAACACCTTTAGTTCTGTTTGGTGGGTGCTGGCTGTAATTGAGATAATAATTTCACTCCTCTTTTTCTATCACCTATGCAGCAGAATTATCAGTAGATTGCGAGGTAGTACTGTAGGAAATGATGTAACCATGTGAAGAAACCTTTCAAAAGTTTTACTATGTTAGCAGTGTTACAAAAAACCACAACTTCTGTTACTTGTAGGCTTGCAAAGGACCTGCCAAGCATGGGTGATTGAAAAAAAAATCTACCCAGGATACAGCCAAATATTTTATTATTACAGGCTTTGGTAAAGTGCACTTTCAGCCTCTGTAATTTTTAGCTCACCCAAAACCAGACAGGAACAGTAATGATTCACACTTTAAAAGTTTCTTCAAGACACAAAAAAAAAAAACTTTCTGAGGAAGCCTGTACTTCAGTACCGCACGTATAATCAACCTTCAAACTCCTAATCAACTCCATCCATTATCGTTTAATTAAAATGAAAAGGAAAAAACACAACACCCAAATAACATAGCTCAGATTCTTCCTACAAAAGAGCCAATTCATTGTCACAACATGATGTGGCTGTTTGGATAGAGTTTGGTCAAAATATCAATTTATTGTGAAGTTCTGATGTGCATATAGAGCTTTTGCTTGCACCTGGGAGTGTGTTCTGTTTAGCCTACCCACCTAAGCAGGTGGAATTGGGCCAAACATACAGCAGGAAGAATCTGAACTCTGTTGTTTGGGTGTCGGATTGTTTTTTTTCCCTACCTTTCAAAATGCATGATACAGGTCAGTCCCTGCCTCCCCAGCTAGTTTCTGACCTCTAGTTTGGAAGTTTAATGCTGCAGCATCCCATCTGTTTGGTACTTCTCTCTGCATCATGCCTATTCTCTGCCTCCCAACTCAGGTCTCACAGCTTAGCCACTGGGTAATCCTAAATGCACAAAGTCTTGCATTTTAGGTATGGTGAAGATTTCAGAGATGTTACATTTCATAGAAGATGAGAAGGAAATGCTCTCCACAATTCAGCATTTCCTACTTTCAAGCCAAGTTCTTGAATTTTGAGATCATTTTAATGATCTCCCCCAAGTGAGGGAGAACAAGGGAGTAGTTAGAGCTGCAAGGGAAAGGATGGGAAGCAGAAGCCAGGCTGGCTCAGGTTGATGTCTGAGCTCCCTGAATCTGTCAGCTGAGCTGAGACACCTGACTGAGCTGCTGGATGACTTGAACCGTCAGGTGGAGAACAGCGGGTCATTTACCATATCATCTAAGAGATCATTTGCAGTGATACAGGACACGCTCCTAATAATTCAATAAGAAAATGAAAATCACATTCAGTGACTTTAATTCTAAAGAAAGACTCAACAACAAAATCACAGCAAGTGCTCATAATTCATGATGGGATGAGGACAATGGCTGTCTAAAGCTAAAAGGAGTCTCTCTTATTCGGGTGCTTTTACAATGACCGGTCTTCAGTTTTTACACTGTACAAACCAAAAAAGGTTCACAGAAATGGTTTTACACTGAACCAAACCAGTTCACAGAAATGTTGAATTTGCCTATTAGCTCATTTCACACTTGAACCATTTCCTTTATCAACTTTTTTACCGTATATAAAGGGTAAGAAGGACTGGGGCCCTGAAATATAGCCACCGTCTGAATAAGCAGCACTGGTAAACCTTACTTACTTTAAACATTACCATATCTAGTTGCTAAGCTTTATAAGTTGAAAGCAGGAAAGCATAAAGGTTTCTTTTTCTTCCTTTTAGATAGCAGGTATAAAAATTTCAGAACAAGCAGACAGAAGAATGAGAGCGATCCAATGACAAGATCAGCAAAATTCTTCTGAGGAGTTGCATTCCTCAGAAGATCCAGGGGAAAAAAACATCTGACCAGCTTCCAAGAACACGGTAGAAACTTGGATTTAACAAACATGCCTTCCATTCCAAGTGCCAATTCTCAATTAAAACAACGTCCAAAACAATTAGCAAAGATTCCTCCTTTCTTGCTTTCAGATGTGCCCCGGTTTCCCCCATAGGTAGGAAATAACTATGGGGAAGATGCATTTCTTTCAAATATTTCCTTTCTTAAAATAAATTTCCCAGCACAAGATTTACACACAAATTCTCAAGAGGGTTCTCTGATTAGAGGCACATAATGCTGTTTAACAGGACGGGCACAAATGGGACAGGATCAAGAACTTTATATAATGCTATACCATGCTAACCACACAACATTGCCCATATGGCTGGCAGGTACATTCAGAGTTAAAAAATCATCCATTAAAAAAACCAGAATAGTAACCAATGTAGCAAGTAGAGTCACAAAATTTTACTTTTTCTTTTAAAAGTGACAAATACTAAAGTTTCTTCACCAGGTATCAGAATTTATCACAATATACTGATACCATAAATAGGCAATGACTATATCTCACTTTCTTCTCTTTAATTTCTGCTTCCAGAAAACTTGGGAGTGAGTGGTAAAATGATTAACACGTAACTGTCTGAGATAAGGTTTAACATATACCTCAGAAGTCAGTTTGTGGCACAGACCACATGTAGATAAATAAATATATACTGAGAGAGAAATGAATGGCAAAGTGATCAAATGTTATGAGCATTCTTTATGCATCTGAGCTCAGTGGAACAGGTTAATACATCTTGAAAATAAAACCTAGAGCCACAAAAAATTGAGAGTGCTGCCATTTCCATTTCAATATAATATTTCAGATTGTGAAAGCAGCAGACTTGGACCCCCAGCCAGCAGGCCAGTCACACTAGAAGAATGAGGTAAAAGTTGGTCAGCATTACTGGAAATATTACTACACAAAATGGAAGCAGGCTTCTGACCTGCATTACTCAACGGGTGAGAGATGTTTTGCAGGACATTACTGATATGTCTTCTGGTTTCTGAAAAGCAACACAAAGAACATATGCATCAATCAACTACAAGGGACGATTCTGGGGTTTAAGTTAAGCTCCGTATTTATTCTGTTTCACAAAAGTTGATTAGCTTAAATTAATCCACTTCTTGACTTCCTACTGAACCAGATGCTATAGTTGAGTCATTAAGATTTCAGGAACGCTGGATATTTCAGGAACCATCTCCCAATGAAGCCAACATGACCTAAAGGCAATCAGCAACTGCCAGAAGGCACTCAACACCTTACCAGAGAGAACAGACACTACACAAGAAAGATAGTAAGAGTCCACGTTCTCTTCTCTATTTTGGGCTAGAGAAAAGTCAACCATCTCCTCTGCAATGTGCCTGTGGAAAATGCTAGTCCTTGAATAGCTGTGACATACGCTCCCAAGCCTAAACACTGCTCTGATTTGAAGTGAGCCTAGCTCTACCAAAAATTAAACACTTAGCTTTCGCCTAATACAGTCTTCCTTCAAAAGCCAATCCATGTCCCCTAAAAAAGGATTTTTAGTGTGCATTAATGGGAGATGGGACATAGCTTGGGAGATCTGATCTTCAGATCGGGGACCAGGGTTTATGGCGCCGCTGCCTTTACTCAGTGAGGGCAAGGCTTAAGACTGTTCTACTCTCTGTGGTGGCTTCACTTGCTGAACGAGCCAGACACAGGCCATGCTAATCAGACATACCTAGGGCTGACAGGAAAGAGAGGAGCTGCAGCAGCACGCTTGTTTTAACCATGCAGGAAATGAAAGGCGTAATCCAGTTATGCGTTGGGTGCTCTTAGCAAAAATCACAAAAAGACTGAGGCTGGAAGGGACCTCTGGAGGTCATCTCGTCCAATCTCCTGCTCCAGCAAGGACACTCGAAGCAGGTCTGATCATGTGGTAGAAGACTGTAGTTTATCTGACCACAGAACAATTTTATAACCCAAGAATAAATCTGTGCAAGTGCCTGGTACAATCTTTTTCTACTGTCCCACTTTAATGGATGTAATAAATAAAGCCCTGACTTTATTACCAATACTTAATTCTTGTGTAACATTTGGAGAGAACTAAATTTTCTTCAGACACCGCTACCTGCACAAATATAAATCCAGCATGATCTCCAATACTGACATGCTATAAAAAAAAGCTTAATGTTCTGAGCATTAGAGACACACTTCCACAGACAAATACTGACAGAAGATGGGAGGAATTGAACGTCAGTGCCTCCTGAGTTCCAGTCTCAGTTTTGTAACCTTATTACTGCTTAGATTTGAGTAAATTATGTAATGTTGTGCTTCAATTCCCCCATTCACCAAATAAGGGCTAATAGAATAGAATAGTTCAGTTGGAAGGAACACTGAAAGACCATTAAGTCCAACTGTCTGACCACTTCAGGCTAAACAAAGGTTAAAGCATGTTAATGAGGGCACTGTCCAAAGGCTTCACTGACAGGCACACGGGTTACCAATCACCTCTATAGAAAGCCTGTTCAGTGTTTGATCATCCTCCTGGTATAGAATTTTTTTCTAATGTCCAGTCTGAACCTTCCCTGGTGCAGCTTTATGCTACTCCTAAAGACTTGTCCTAAAGTTCTTCACCTTCCAAATACTTCAGACATACAGAACAAGGCAAAATGTTGAACACTGCAAATAAACAATCAAGATGTTTATGACCCAGTCAAGATGACTGTTTACATTTATAGTGTAAATGAGAATA